TCTCTTCAGATCGTGAATGGTCTGTTTGTGCTTCCGTGCTGTTTTCTCGCTCCCAACAGACATTGAAAACATCTAGCTTGTCATGCATACATTTACAACCAAGTGGTGCAGAACCAGCCAGTCTGCATGTCTGCTCGTTTCCCTACACACCCGCATTACCTAAGATAATATCCGAAGGACGATAACTTTGATATATATATACACATTTTTGGGGGGGGGGGGGGGGAACTTGACAACTTTATGACATTAAAGTTAGCGGTTAAGATGTTAAGAGATTAGGTTAAGATGCACCAATAAACTTTCTCCTTATCTGCCGCCTTGTCATGTTGATCTTTCAATACAACTGCTAGCTGAGTAGAAAAGTTGCACAAATTAGCACCCCAAAAAAAAAAAAAAGAAAAATTTACTTTGTTTTACTCCTAGTACGTTATAATTGGACAACTCACAGAATTTCAAACGATGGGCACAAATTATGCTCTCATGTATTCATTTGACACCGTAAGTCCTTCAGTTAAACAATTAGGTGTCGTCTCCACAACTACGGTTGGCTGCCATGGATTTCCAACAAAGATCCTTTTCTCGGTCTGGCTACACACTTTCCAGACTGCTGTTTGTCAATATTTTGATAGTAGTTTCTCAGCGATTTCATGTGCTCTATGATAGTCTGCTTCAATCTATTTTATACCCAATGATCAGCAACATATGAGACATTCTCTACAGGACCACTTGTTAGTTGCGTATCCTTTACAGAACATTGCAGAACCAACCTCAACAGCTCCTGGCTGTTGTGTGGTTTTTCTAGGCAAATTTACGTCCAGTAGTTTGACATTGCCTTCTATACGGTCGGCTTTCTTGATACCACTGTCGAAACCAACGCAAGGCTTATGGCCCGCAGCTGGGATTGAACCTGGCATCCCGGCATTACGAAGCGTTCGCATCGACTTAGACAAGGAGTCGACACAGGACCACCACTAGGGCTTAAAAAAAAGGAAATGTGTCTATTAATGATTCCCAAACTGTGCGCCGCAGCGTCCCGGGGAGCCGCGACCTCTTCAGGGGAACCGCGAAATATTGTAAAAGCTTCATAATTAATTTAACCAAGACACGAATAGCCATACTTTTGCTTAGGTTAGGGCGCCGTGGAAAAATGTTAGTTGGAAAAAGGCGCCGCGACAAAGAAAAGTTTTGAAAACACTGGTCTAAAACATTTTTTAAATGTTGTCTTTAGAATGGAGGTTATCTGGAGTACATACCCTGCAGTATTTTGGCAATATAACGTGATGAGGTCCCAATCTCTTCCATGGCGATTACCATTGTCTGAAAGTCATAAAAAGTTTCTTTCTTTCTATCTTTTTAATTATTGTAAAAAAACAGGTGGATAAAATATAACCGTTGGTGGAAGAATGGACCTTGGCGCAATTCACTTTCTATTTGAGCCATAGAGCCGGACTAATGGCAGGCAGCATTTCATGCATTATTAACTACTGTAAATTTAAACTTTTAGCAAATGCGATATCTGCTGCTTAGATATTATAAAATCTGAACGTTTCTGAGAGATGAAGCGCTGAGTTAACAGTGCACGTCGCTGGGTCGTCAGTTTCTGTTGACTGGCTGATTAGCTCCCTCCACCTTTGACGGTCAGATGCAATGGACATCATGGTTGAATGCCTAAGACCTGTCCAGTCAGTCAAGCTCTGTATCCACGTCTTTCTTGGTCTGCTTGTTTCCTCTTCTTCTCTACTGATTCCTGTAGAATTGTTTTCGAATTAAATCGTAGTACCTCTCCGTAACTACTGCAGTTTCCGTCTTTTCGTTGTCGGTAAAAGAGGTTCATAGCTGCATAATTATACAGCCGCTAGACTGATTGGGAAAACATTTTTGGTGAACCAGCCCTGGTCCGCATACCAGAGTCTGAAGAACACGATTCCAGACATTCAGTACATCTGTATACCTTGACCACAAAACACAGATGGAGTACGAACACTGTTATCATCATGACTATAGTGGTCACGAGAGATGGTCAACTATGATCTTCTTTCTTCTTCTTTTGTCGTGCCACCGATACTAGTCTGTAGCACAGTGTGGTGGTTTTCTGAATTTGTCTTGCACTTCTCGGAATGGCGTGGGTGGTGGATTTGTTTATCTTTTTACTGGTTTTAGCGATACCATTTATCCATCTCTTTCTTTGTCTTTCCTTAGACTTCTTCCAGATGTTCTGCTGTACAAACTCTTATATGTAGTTTGATCTGGCTGAATTCTCACTAGTTTGGGGGAACCAGATGTTCTGCTGTACAAACTCTTATATGTAGTTTGATCTGGCTGAATTCTCACAAGTTTGGGGGAACCAGATGTTCTGCTGTACAAACTCTTATATGTAGTTTGATCTGGCTGAATTCTCACTAGTTTGGGGGAACCAGATGTTCTGCTGTACAAACTCTTATATGTAGTTTGATCTGGCTGAATTTTCAATAGTTTGGGGGAACCAGATGTTCTGCTGTACAAACTCTTATATGTAGTTTGATCTGGCTGAATTCTCACTAGTTGGGGGAACCAGATGTTCTGCTGTACAAACTCTTATATGTAGTTTGATCTGGCTGAATTCTCACTAGTTTGGGGGAACCAGATGTTCTGCTGTACAAACTCTTATATGTAGTTTGATCTGGCTGAATTCTCACTAGTTTGGGGGAACCATTTAATTCATTAGCTGTCAATATAATTTAAACACGATCTTATTTCAACTTTCTCTCTAATGCTGGCATTCTTAACCGTGTCCCTTCTTGTGAAATTACGAAAACTGAGCATTTCACTTGTTATTTTCTGTTCTAGTGCCTTACTCTTGATCCCCGTTTGGCGCTTACAGCATACAGTAGGGGGGCGAAGATGCTATTAATCATCTGCTGTTTTGCTGGAAGGGAGACATTTGGGTGTCTGTGCAGTGGGGCCAACTTGTAGGAGACAGCATTTGCATGCTGCCCTCTGGCTTTTATCTCTTTCTCCAGTTTGTCATCTAATGAACCAAGACCGCCTATGCTAAACGGTCGGCATTGCTAATGATAATAACATAAGGAACAGCATACATCGAACGTACTGTATTTTTTTTTTAATTTGAACTATAAGCGAATCACACTTTCACAACGTGCACACTTTCATATTTATAGTGCTAGCTTCAGGACAACACTCAGCACAAATAATTAGTGATATGTACATTTTGTTGTTTGTGAACATTTTACATTTTTAAAAAGCACACACAACAACAACATTTACTTTAAAGCTCCCCTCGTCCTCGACATAAATAAAACATTCACTCATTTCTTTCTTCTTCTTAATGTCCTAGTGTTTTAACTGGCCTTCACACAACTTAGGTCAAGCCACTCCATCTTTTGCTGTCAGCTATAGCTCTTACCATTGCATCCCCATTTAATGAATCTCTTTCACAACTCTACTCTCCATTTGTTGTTAGATTTCCTTCTAATCCTATTATCGTACAGATTTTTAGAGAGAGGACTTTCAAGTTACAGTATTAAGATGTTTTACCAACGTGTGCCCTATCTAGCGACAGCATCTTTTTCCCACCTATATTGTCGTCTGAGACTGGCATATTTATAAATACGTTCATGAAGTTTTCATCTGTTAATGGTATCACTACTGTAATGGCCACTTTTCAGTTATTGTTGATCAATTCATGTATATTTTCCTGCTAAATTCTTTGCATTGATGTAAAGGTTTCCTTTCCTCCCTGCTCCCTCTGCTATACCAACTGCCGTTTATGTCCGTATTTACCACTTTCTGTTTTTTTTAAAGGGGATTTTTGAGCCTATGGATTTAGGATCGCATGGCTAATGTAGTCACCACAGAGTGTGCGGGTATTTTTTTTTGAGCCCTCCTGCTTAAAATCTAAATACTCTTTTACCAGCTGTTTTTTTTTTTTTTTTTTTAATTTAGCTTACGTGTATTTTTAATGAGCGTTCAAGTCAGCAATTTCAGTTTTGCTGTTAATTTAACTCTGCGACTTTACCGACCTACAATTTTGAGGGCTTGGAACGATATCCACGATTTATATTCTGATACTTCCTTTCTGGGAACTTATATGCTCGATTAGTTTCAAAGCTTTAAACCTGCTGCAGGCGGTATTCCATAACCACATGGTTATTAATTGTTGCGGATCTCTGGTAGTCGCTTATGGAGAAGTATACAGTAGGCTACAGTATTGATTTTCCGTTTCCTTTCTGGGCACCGGCGTAACACGTGAGCAATAGGTGGTTACGTCAGTTACCAAGCACACAACGTATAAAAACCCCATTTGTATAAACATATTTGTCCTAAAACATGCAAACATGAAATCCACTGAACCTGATCGAGAGAGGTCGGTGAGAACTAATCAGACAGTCAACAGAAACAGGCGACCTAGCAACACGCTATGTTATGGGACTGAAGTGATAATGATATTAAAACATGAGCAAAATTAAACCTGGTTCGCAGATATCAAAAATGCCGATATTCAATACTGACTGAACATAATGATAATGACGGCAATGACAATCAGAAAAAAACAATAACGTGTTATGGGGAATATCAAAACTGTGCAGATCTATCAACGGCCTCATTTTAATAGCATTTATATTATCAGGGTATATCATACTATTTAAATGCTTCCTTTTTTTTTTTATAAACCAGCAGGCAACGGATGGTGGTGATGTCAACATCACGCCAGCTGCCTTTACTTGCTAGAACATTTAATGGGATCTTGTTTCAGTTGGGTCGACCTGGAAATCCCGGTCAGTTGTAGAAATCTGCCTCCTCGAGGACGTGAACCCAAGATATTCACCTCGATAAGAAGGCATCCAGCCTCTGCTCTAATGACGGAGCACAACACATAACGTGTGCCCACGTTAGTCAGTTCTATTGTAAAGTAATCAACTCGTTTTCTCAAGCATCGGGATGTAATATAATGATGGCCAGATAGCTGATGGATAACTGGAGATCTGCTGAACTCTTCACAGTCACCACAGGATGAAGCTCTTCTTTTGCTGCTTTGTTTCTCTGGTCCCTCGGTCTCTGGCCTATGATAAAATGAATAACAACTAAAATCAAAATGTCAAATATTACCACACAATACTGTATACTTGCTCGTAACAGATTCTATACATTATCCAGTTACTGTTGATTTAACCAAATGTTTTAAACAATGTCAATTATAGGATAAGCAGCAAACGTATCTTCTTCTTCTTGGCGTTCAGCGGCTATTAACTACGGACGAATTCCTAGTTGTTCACCCCCATTGTAATTAGCCATCTCCTTGTGGGATGCAATTTTTCGTTATTTTGAAGCCCCACCCTGGCTCTTACCAGGGGCCGCAATATAGCCCGGCCATAAATATGGTCTAACGGCTAACGCGGTTTCCGGGACCTCTCCACGAGTGATCCTCATCCACATGGTAACACTACTTTGTGTAATCGGGTGTTTATCACTTGTGTGATGTCCCGGTGGGTTAAAATGTACTACTACTACTAGCTGTTCACCCATTTCTAGACTTCGGTCTTGATTACGGGACTTGAATTTTGCAGGAACATCCGTTTTGACAGCGCAGGCTCAATAGATTATAGACCTGTTGGTTCCCCACCTCTCATCCTGATGTACTCCGACTTCGAAGGAAACAGATCCCTATCTGCGTTGGCTGGGAGTCCGTTTAGGAACCGTTTTTAGGATGACCACGGAGGGGTATGGATAGGTCTTGACCATGACCTACCTAAAGTAGGTCATTCCTTGAGTTTAGGAGCCTGTTTTTAGGATGACCACGGAGGGGTATGGATAGGCCTTGACCATGACCTACCTAAAGAAGGTCATTCCTTGACCAGCATGAGTCTTAGTCCAGGTGCATATACCACGTTCACGGGGTCTCTGTTGCGAAGTGGTCAAGCCGTTTGCCTCGCGTTCTGAAGGTCGTGGTTCGTTTTACAGTTACGCCGTTCAGTTGACAATTGCAATTTTTAAGGAGCTTCCTAGAAATTGTCGCCGGAGCGACGAAGGTCGTGCTCTGTGCGACGCTCTCGGCTGGCAGCATGCTGTTCTGCAAGAGAGAGAGAGAGAGAGAGAGAGAGAGAGAGAGAGAGAGAGAGACTGAGCCGTATGTGATAAGATCCTGTGCAATGAAGTCGACCCTCTCTCCTTCAGAAACATGTAGTGTCATTTTGTCATCGTCAAAATATGAAGTACGTAAGCAAGTAAACTAAATGACTCTTTTCACCCACTGACGCTTCGGATCTACGGTGCTAGACTATATTAAACAGACAAATCGACATTTGATGAGGGAAGTGTTAAACATCACAACAAGCCTCTTTACTTTCAGGGTAATTTCCTCGTACTCATTTAATCTGTGTGGACCTAAGAACACACGCTATTTTATTTTTTGTTTCAAATATTTTAGGTGTACTGGTATATATAACAAGAGCACAGGAGAGAAAGATCACGACGTGCGAAATGAGATGCTTACGTAAGGCTGCCAATGTCACAAGGAGAGACAGAGTTCGAAACGAGAACATTAGATCAATTGTAGGAACCACACCATGCCTGCAATACATAAAGAAGCAACAAATAGAGTGGTTTGGCCACTTGATGCGAATGCAAACCGACCAACTGCCTCTACGAGCATACAACGAACAGCACTACTGCCCTAGAGCAAGAGGCAGACCGAGAGTACGATGGATAGACAATATATCAGAGATCCTGAGGCAACACGGACTAACAACAACACGTGCAACACACCTGGCCCGGGATAGAAAACTGCGACTCCCCACTACGCTGTGAGGCAATTGTGGACAAGACAAGACAAGACAAGACAAGTCTGGTATATTATAAGTTAACGATCTTTACAGTCTCTATTTATAATTACTGGGATTTGCTGAATATAAAAACAATCATATAGTTATATTATTTTACAATTTTATTTAAGATTTAACGGGTAATTTAAGTATCTTTATTTATTACTAATTCCAATGAATGCCTTCAATTTACCACTATCGGATATAAATTAACACCACGCCATATGTCAGAATTACATAAGCGAAGCATACAATAAACACAGCCAAAGCAGTTTTTAAGTTTTACTTACCACAGTTCATGTGAAATTGGGCGTGGTATATAGTGATTAATATATACAAGAAACACAAGTCTGAAGGACATGAGCGATGAAGTGATTATCAGGTCATTAACTGTCTATCAAGTTTGCATATTCACATTACATTATAAATGTAGGTTGTATTTTCTAGGTTGCTAATATTAATTTCTCACAATGGTACAATACAAGTAACACGCATTTACTGGTTTATTACTCAACTTTAGCTATTTGAAAAACAATGTTGATACTTTGGTGGAGAGAAAAAACTACGTTCAACCCTGCTGAAAACAGCTTCAGTTATTATGTGCAACAGGTTCTTCGTAATGCCGGGTTGCCGGGTTTGATCCCAGCTGCGGGCCATGCGCCTTGCGTTGGTTTCAACAGTGGTATCAGGGGCCCACCGTCCAGTAAGCAATGACAAACTACTAGACGTAAATTTGCCTAGAGAAACCAGACATGTGATTTTTTTTTGTCGGCTCTGTGGCTAAGTCGATGCGAACGCTTCGCTTCGTAATGCCGGGATGCCAGGTTCGATTCCAGCTGCGGGCAACGCGCCTTGCGTTGGTTTCGACAGTGGTATCAAGAAAGCCGACCGTTTAAAAGGCAATGGCAAACTAACCGATCTAAATTGCCTAGAGAAACCAACAGCAGCCAGGGGCTGTTAGGGTTGGTTCTGCAACGTCCTGTTGAGGATACGCAACTAACTTTGCAACAGGTTCAGTGGCATTAGTTTGTGGTTTATTTGTCCAAAATGTTGAACACGTCTGGGTCAAGGCCGTCTTCAATATATGTGTGTGTGTGGGGGGGGGGGGGGGGGGGAGAGTTGAAAGCCTTTAGTCGTCTGAGTCAGCTCTTTTGGTCCTGTGATCCTTGCAAGTGTTCCGTTTCTCATGTCTATCTTCCAATCTCCAAAATTTGACAGTTATTTATGATTGGGATTATTCTACTTATATCTTGTGTAGTCATATTCTCCCTGGGGTGTTATCTCCTGTCGTCGGCCCTTGTCCATCTTTGGTTGTCGCGCTGTCCGGGCAAAATAAGGAGTTAAAAATCTTCCCAAAGTATTTCAGGATCCTCACTGGTGTCACGGGGTTCGTGCACTGGGCTGAGATTCTTCGGACTCAGGCTTTAGTTAGAAGTAGACGGAGCAATTATGGCTCACCACCCTTGTGCCATGATGTTGATCCGTTGTTCAAACCTTTAAATCCTTCTCCTATTGTAGGGGTCTGATTTGGGTCAGTCAAAAAATACTTGTATTTTTTACTACAATATTTATCCAATTGCTACTTTTCTTTCCAGTTTGGGTAGATGAATTTAATCGCGTAGGTAAAGTAATATAAGGTACTTTTCCACGTCCTCAGGCGTTTGGGGCATATTATGCAAGACCTACGTTTTGTAGACCAACTGGCACTCGGTGGTGATGTGGTCAGCTTTACGCCAGACGCCATTTACTTCCCAGGACTTTCCATAGTACGCACTTAAGGCTGGACCTGGCAGCCACGGTCATTTTTAAACAGGAAAATAAAAAAGTCCGGTTCCTTTCGGATTTGAAATCGAATAGGTAGGATATGTTTAATTTGTTTGTTCAATAATAGATCAACAAACGCTCGACGATATACTGTCTGGGACATGATGATTGAACAGAAGATTGTCTGGCTACAAAAGCGATAGCTATAGGAACATTCGTACTGGACAAGGAAGGTAGGTTAGTTGCGTATCCCTTACAGGACGTTGCAGAACCAACCCCCAACAGCCCCTAGCTGTTGTGTGGTTTTTCTAGGCAAAATTACGTCCAGCAGTTTGCCATTGCTTTCCGACGGTCGGCTTTCTTGATACCACTGTCGAAACCACATTGACGTAGAGGATTAAAAGACTTACGTGTGTATAATTAATCTGCTTCGACAACAGTTATCATCTACACCTTAAAACATTTGCTGCGAGAGACGGAGCATCTATGGGTACGCCCGGTGTTCGAAAATGTCGATTCTTAAATCAGTAATCAATCAGTAGTAACCAAACTAAACGCTCGTCGGCAGACTTGAAGGTATTACTTAACTGAAGTAAAGGTTCGAATCCGCATGGAGGCAATTTTTTTTAGGTAAGATTTGACCTCGGCACCAAGTTCGATCCAGTCTAAAATGGGTACCAGGTAATGTCTGGGAGGTAAAGGCAGCCGGCGTAGTGTTGATCACGTCTTCCATCGAGTGCCGATTTGTGTGTGTGTGTTGGAAAGGGGGGGTGGCAAGAAGAAATTGGGAATAAAGGGACAATAAATGACTGCAGATAAATGGATATCTGAACTTCGGAACTGAAGCTCACTAAATACTTGTAACGACAAAAACGACCATGAAATCCCAAGCTCCAAATGCAGAAGACTTTTCTTAACGCAGGCAGGCTTTGCTAGTTACACTCGCCAACGCCAGAGGCGGTAATTCCCGTGCAGAACTCTATTCAACTGCCTATCTTTTACTGGGCGACAATTGCAAGTTTGTTTATAGTTTTTCTGGGCAATTTTAAGTTGAGTAGTTCGTCATTGCTTACCAAACAGTCGACACTTATTGCTGTTAGTTTGGTGAAGATATTTTATTAACACTTTCAACCATACTAAGAACAGCTTCGGTTATAACTATGGTCTGGGTGTTATCTGCGCTAAGTTCAATGGTTTGTAGTTGTGGCTTTGTGCTTCTAACTATGTGAGATGTCATAAGTAAATACATCTGTTGGTCCTGTGGTCGATGACGATTTCATTTAGCGTGTCTATTTTCTTGGCTTTTTTCTTCTGTATCTAGGGTATGACTAATTTATGACTTTGGTCTTCTTGCATCCTGTGTTTTAATATTTTTCCTAGGGATGACCTAGATGTGTCCTGTTACGAAGTCCTTATATGAGTCGGCCCAATCAAAGCTTCATACTGTCCTCTGAGCGTCCCAGGCAAGTACTAATTAT